TATCATGATAGGTATAAGAATCACTTCAATCTGTTATGATCCAGAGCTTATTTCTTCTGCTTTTAACAAACTACCAGGGTGGATTGCAGTGCATTTTACTTACCAAATTAATTATGCAAACTGTCGCAACTTGTGCTGAACGCAATTACTCTGGGATAGGTCAAATCCCATAGAATTCTTTGTATCAAGCCATGGCAATCAGAATTCAAGCTCTAGTCTGGTAAACAGGGTCAGATTAATACCATTAAATCATCACACAACACTCTGGTCAGTCATGTGAGCAGATACACATGCCATTGTTCCTGGCCAAGAGACGATGGATAGGAGGTTGTCATCAGGAAGATTCACAAAAACCTATCATGATAGGTATAAAATACCTATCATAATAGGTATGATGATACCTATCAAAATAGGCCCCACAATGGATACCTATAAATTGTTCTTGCATACAGAACTGAGCAAATTATAAACCTATCACCTGTTACCTGTCATGATAGCTACCATGTAATAGGCTATCAAGTGATAGATTCTTGCATATGGGCCATTGTAGTGTGGATGCACGATAATGTAATCTTCATGGTCTCTATCATCACCTTGTAAATGTTGTAATAAGCTGAGGATACAGTCTTGGACAGAGGCTTCTTTACTGTATGCAAGATTTTAAATTATGCATCAAAGCACTTGGTCAGAATGGAGTGTCCATTGCAGGGTACTATTCCTGGCGGAGTGGAGCCAATGGCTCTTGGTTCATCCAATCTTTGTGTGAAGTCCTGCTCAAATATTCAAACGAGGAAGATCTGATGAGCATGTTGGCAGAAATGACACGTATAGTAGGTATCGAGCATGAATCCAATGTTCCAAATCAGCTGACCATGCATCACAAGAAGCAAGTGCCTGCTGTTACAACCACACTCACGCGAAGGGTTTTCTTTCGTCCCAAGCCAAGGGGCACTATCACTCCTTCCAGCATGCCATGAACCACAGGTATGGCAACTTGACTCTCTAGATATGTATTAGGTTGATTGGATTCACTGGAAATCAAAAGCTGGAGTCAAAAGTGCCATTTTTTACCTTGTCATTCACGAGGAGAGTCATCCAGAATAGACATTGACAGTTACAGACAGTGTTATTACTTGTTCTTGCCCAATGAAGCTACTGTCTATATGGCCTAAGCTGGAGTCAAAAGTGCCATTTTTTACCTTGTCATTCACGAGGAGAGTCATCCAGAATAGACATTGACAGTTACAGACAGTGTTATTACTTGTTCTTGCCAAATGAAGCTACTGTCTATATGGCCTGTAAGCTTTTCATGCTTGAAATATATGAAGCTTCATAGGAAATTACTAATTGCCTGTTTGATAAGAAATTTGCCTGAGTTGCTCTGTCCAAAGCTGGAAAAGAAATACAAATTAATGGGTACTGGGAATTCTGGATTTCCAGTGCTCTCTTTTAATGATGTAAATGAAACCTTAATGACCTCAAACTTAAAAGTACGTATTAGTGTGGGTATCACTGTCACAAAATTTTCTTTACATCCATTCAACATAAAGCTTTGCTTTTTCTTTTTATTACTTATGGAACTCTCACTGTGGTACTTTGGTGTAACATACATTTGTACAACATATGATGCTTCTCATAAAGGAAGATGCATTGAAAAGAAGTGAAAAATTGACTGTAATATCACTGTACCTGACTACCATCCATGTCTTCCTGGCATTTACTTTATTTATGCTTTGCATTTATTTATGCTTTGCATTTATTTATGCTTTGCATTTGTGTATATGTTGTGGTTTTTGCTTTGAAGATTTATTTATTTTCTATTTGTTTGCAATTGATTTGCTAGCTCTCATACAGCTTTTCAATATTCCAATGTCAGAGTGTGATCTTTTTTATGTTGAGATTTTGCTGATGGTAAATATTTTTGATGCGTGTGATGCTTAGTTGAATTATACTTTTGAAGATTGTGTTCAGCTGATTTTTTTCTCAAAAGATCTTCCTGTTCAATTTATATTTTTCTGATAGTTTCCTTCAATAAAAAGAAAGAATTCTTGAGGTAAATATCAATTTAATTTATCCACGATTTCAATGAAATGCACATCACATAAGCAGAGATATGATATCACACAATGCTACAGATTTCTTAGGAGCTCAGATTAGTTCAGATGGAATTATGAGTATATTGATGTCGGATGCTGCATGGAGGATGCCCCACAGGTTGCAAAAGCAGCTGCAGTGCAACTATCTTGGCTGAAAATGTACCCCTCTCCATAAAAACTGTTGTCATTGGTGCTCCAGTTGAGGAGTCTTGTGACTTCCATATCTGAGACTAATCCAAAGCTGCATATTGCCAGCTTTTATTGACCATGCCAGGCAGAATCCATATTCTTAATGACTGCAGTGATTGCTGGCGCTTTGCTGCTGTTTTTCCTAAGGATGGCAGTGTTCCTGCTCGACCCTCTGTCTTATACAAGGTGAGCATCTCACTGTTGCCATTAACGGTAATGAAGAGGCTGCTCTGTTTTAGGTTGGACTCAGCATTGTGAGAAGCTGCAAAGAGTCCTCCAAGCTGGGATCATTGCTGGCTGAGGAGATAGAAATAACAAGTGGTAAAGAAAACAGCATTACCAGCTACCAAGGGTCCGCCTTGGAGATGGAACATACACGAGGAATGATGAATAGATTCAGACTTTCGCCATCACAAGGCCATCTGGTGTCTTTCATCTCTGGCCAATCCTGCCTTGCCAAGCAACTTGGTCGAGCAACAAAAAATTGCCTCGTGTGCGGCGGGCTTAACTTCCTCTCCGACCTTGCGGTCTCCACGGTGGCCTTTGTTTAAGTATCGCGCTACAAAACCTAAATGTCCGCAACAATGGTTCGTCAATGGTGTTGTATCCCTCTCGTCCTCACTGGCCTGTGTGCCGCAGCAATCGCTGGCAGCAGTTTGTTGTGCTTGGTGGAATTTACTATTCTGTGAATGCTGGATGGAACGCCCCAAGCACAATACTCAACGTGAGTAAATTCCGCAAAGAAGGTTGCAAAGGAAAATCATTCATCGTAAATTTAAAAAAAACGTATTTCAGCATTCAGCGTTAGAACTGCTTCGAGGAGAACCATCAGGCGTGAGGGAATGAGTATCGTTGTCATGAAGCAAAGAAAAAAAAACAGCTTGTACGTCCTTGCTTCTCTCTTACTCGGTTTCTGTTTTTCTGTGTTTATTTCGCGTATTTCGTATAGTGACCCCATGGCCAACACAGTGGCCGATCCACAACGTGCAAACGAAAAATCTGAGAGGCAGGGATCGGTCGACATCCATTCTGGCACCGTCCCCGACATATGATATCACGTGATACACTTCTCGGCCAGTCCAAGACCCTCTCCGACACCAGCTGTGGGGTCGGAGGAGATAATACAGGCGCCGATTTTAAAAAGATATTTATTT